CCACTTCCTCTTTTGCAGAAGATTTTATTCCCTTTTTGGGTATGAGAAAAAACTATCTTAGTAAATTTAGGAAGAAAAGCTAAACGATGGGAAGAAGTTTGTAGTTAGTGCTTATTAGCTGATGTGTGCCCAGTGAGCATCCTGCAGAAACCATCACAGGTGCTCTTTCTGCTTTTGGCAGTTTCTTTTTTCTTTTTTTGGGTCCCCAGTTGCAACAGTGTGCAAACAAATATTCTTCATCTCTAAAAGGCCTTAATATAAGAGGAAGTAAATGTAATGCAAGGTTTTATTTTACTTCCCTTAGTGGTCCTACAATGCTAGCTTACTGGTAATTATCGATGTTATATGCAAAGTTTCTGCAGGATGATGCATGCTACGCTTCTTAGAAAATACTGGGCGCTGTAGTAACAACGCTAAATGAAAAGGTAGATCCTGGTTGGTGTTACTGATGATGCACTCTTGTTATGAAGTGGAAACGGTCCCTTTGCTGGGAATAGATTCGGCGTGGACGATTTCATGAAGTGGAAAGTTCCAAGTCCATGTCATCTGCCACCTGTAACTCTGCTGTGGTGTTTAGTCACATGTTTCCTTTTGGTCCTGTGTGAACAACCCTGGACACAAAAGCAAACGCCCACACTGTTGTTAGATGTGTAGCTATTAAATGGCTGTTTTGTTTTTTTGCTGTTATTTTTATGTTCACAAGTGCTTTGTGTTTAAAGTGTGACCCTTTAAATCTTCCTCCAGACCGAAGCATCAGAACCGAACCTCCTCTGATTGTACGTGTGACTCTGTAGTAGTGACTGAAGTAATGTTTGTTTGTTTTTTGTTTTGTTTTGACCAATTAATGGTTCAAAGACGTTTTCCTGGATTTTTAGTCTCTGTACAGTTTCTTCTCTTTGAGAATAAATGTTACACTCTCATCAGCCACACAGGAGTCAAGTATTCATTGCGTGTGTTTAAAATCTGTTTCGTCAAACATTTTAAACAGACCCTCCTGCCAGAACAGTTACATTCATCTGTTCATTTTATATATAAAATAAAAACAGTTATATACACACAGTGACATCACTTAAGAGTTGTTTATCTCCCACATCCTGCTTTATCGTGCTTTTAAGCTCTAAATGTTACCATCATTTCTAAAATGAACATTTTGCAGACTTTAAACTCCTGATTGAGACGATACACTCAACAGCTGTGCTTATTGCAATTATAGATCCATTTACAGTTATACAGTCTCCTGTTTTACAACTATGAATTTAATTTAGCTTCATTTTTATAGATCCAGAAACAACTGTCTTTTATATACAGTTGTTGTTGGGGGGTTTTCTTTGTTAGCTGGTGGATGTTAGGATGCCAACTTGAAACCCATCTAAGGAAACTCTGTTTCAGTTGACATCTTTAAAGTTCTGAAGAAGTGCTACATCTTCATTTTATAGATAGTCTGTGGCTTGCTGACGAGCAACAAAGAAAAAAAATCAAGTTTTTATTTTAACAAGTTTTCTTTTATTGTTATTTGGAAATGCATCATCATGCAGTCTTCAAGTTATTTGGCAC